TTGTCACCGCAAACGGATCGGCCATCAGTCGACCGAACAGCTCGTCGTCGCCGCTGTCCTCGCGGGGAGCGGACAGCGCGGCCGCCGCTCAGCTGACCGCTAACGGCCTGTCGCTGTCACTGCCATCGGACCGATTTGTCAACGCATTCCCGTACCTGAAGCCCACGGTCTCGACGGCCGCCGCCGCTAATCATCTCAACCAATTTCACAGCCTCTTAGGTCTGACGGCTCTCCAACACCATCACCAGCACAGAAGCCACTTGTCGTCGATGACGGCCGCCGCCGGTCGAGAGTACGGTTCGCTGCCCTCCCTTTGCTCGTGTCCGTCACACGTGCCAAACATACCGGTGTTTTCGCCCCACAAACCCATCCCATCTCTTCTGCCGTCAAACATATCGCAGACAAATATACTGGAGTTGACGGCAACGACGGCCACATCGTCGCCGCCGACACACAAATGCGATCCGCAAAAGGATTTACACAAAAGCGACGACTGATTAGTAAATAGCGAGCGAAAAATCGGATCAAAATTTTTATTTAATAATTAATTAAATTGAATGTAATTTTCTCTTCGCATTCATTCACTCATTATTAAGACTCCAATTAGCCGTACATTAATATGTGGTTTTGTGTTTAATCTCTTAATCTCTTTCGTTTATCATTAAAACAAATGCATAAATATATTGACTTTTAGGATAATAGCTATTGAATAAAATGTTGACTTAATATGTCATTAGTTAGCTAAGACATTAGTTATTTAACAAAAACTTTTTTATGTATATTTATGTTTTATCGCAAAACTTCCAAACGGGAAAAAAAATAACACAAAAATATTACAAATAAATTAAAAAATTTGTGAACAAAAAATCTACTATTGATTAAAGCATAAAACTCTTATGACAAGAGGAATGTGTGGTAAACATCAGATAATCATTGGTAGGCGTATGTGTGGTGTCTGTGTGGGTACAGGTGCTGTCAATTAGATAACTATATTTATATTACTAATTATCATTGAATCGGAGCGGTTAACGTCGGGTTTAACCGTTTTTGATGGTCACCGGGAGATCAATGAAGTACGGGTGAGACATGGCGTCTTCGGCGGACATACGTTGAGTGGGATTGCAGAGCAGCAGTCGCTGCAAAAGGTCCCGACCCTTGATGTTGAGCTTTGGGACCACTTGAGCGAAACTAGTGGTCGGGTGATAGAGCGGGAATGGCTTATAGTCGGGCAATTGGGTGACGCCCGGCCACGTGTCCTCCGTAGGCGTTCCCAGCAGTTTGAATATGCGTTTGAGCTGATCGTCGACATCGCTGCCCGGGAATAGCGGCCGCCCAGCGTTGGCCAACTCGGCGAATATACAGCCCGCCGACCAACAGTCGATTGATGTGGTGTACAGTTTGGCCCCAAACAGCACGTCCGGCGGTCTATACCTGTGTATAGAGCCGAAGAGATTATCAATCAATTGGTATATGAAGTGATGATATACTGTACCATAGAGTGACCACTTCGGCGGAATAGCAGCGCACGGGTATACCGAAAGCTCGGGCCAGACCAAAGTCGGCCAGTTTTAGTTCGCCGTTTTTGTTGATCAACAGATTCTGCGGCTTTAAGTCTCGATGCAATACATTGTGACTGAAATAATAGATCAGTTGAAGGGATCAGTTGCCATACAATTACCGGCAAAATCAATACTGTGTGTCAATACCTGTGACAGAACTCCAATCCCCGCAACAGTTGATACATAAAGCTCTTGACCACATCGGCGTCAATCTCGCCGTTAAGGCTATCGAAATATTTCTGTTTGGCATTCAATGGCAATACAATCAATACATTGTCACCTAAAAAATGGATGCGCTGTCAAAGTGTGGGTCAATACAAACCTTGAGGTCCTGATCGCAGTGCTCGAAGACGAGCGTCAACTTCTTCTCGCTGTGGAGGACGTCGTGTAATCTGGCCGTGTTTAGTTCAGTTAATCAGTTGCCAAGGCTGGCTAGCCTAGGTTATGGACTGCTATAAGAACACGAATTCGAGAAACTCTTCTGTATAAAGCGCCTCTCGTGACCTGCCGTGCGGGAGCAGCTCGTCGTCCAGCCGTACCTAATCGGGTCATCATATCAGGTATTAAGGTTGTGATCTATTGGATCAGCTAATGGTGATCATCCGCTACTAACCCGTTTGAGAGCCACGACCTCTCCTGTCTCCGCCACAAACGGGAATTTCTGGCATGGTATCCAAGGGAGGGGATAGAAGAGGTTGAAGAGCATGAAGACGTAGCTAAGGGACCGTTAGCTACCAATTTAGTTAACTATTAATTAACATTAATATTAATATTAAAAGTTTTGACCGAAAAATCACTTACTTTTTGGCTGTTTTTGCGGCACTTTTTTGAGTAACGATTTTTTGCGGTCAAACAAACGGATCAATCGTTAAATACAAGTGTTATTAACGAAACAGACAATCAATTAATTGACACCAAATTGTGATTAAGAAAAACACGTGTTGTTTGGCGTTAATTGTAGTTTGAATTACAAGTCTTAATGTTGTCAACCATTTGACACATTATTTTTGCTGTGATTTCTGTTTTTGTTTTGTTTTTTTGACAATTATTTTGAAAAAAGTATAAAAAAAGCAGTGATTTTCATTGCTTATAAAAGAATAGTCAGTTACCAAACGTAAGTTTTGGTGCTGTAGACGACACGAGAGTTACGTCAGTGCAAACGTCATGTACACAACACCGGCCTCACATATAACGTTACCAATAATACAGTTATTTTTGTCCCCCAATTCCACTTAAATGCTATACAACTGTATAGTAAATCATAGAGTTTTAATTGAGTGATAATATTTTATTTCACTCACAAATAGCCGTAACAGTGTATGTGTACTGTAACTAATGGTATATCAATTGTTTACAAAACTTTTGTTTTTGTGAAATGAAATTAATTGTGATTTTTATGTAAATATTTAATTAAATCAAAAGTTTTATCGCAATTATTGCCACAAATGAAGACATGAATATCGGACGCTGTTGTCGACTGGTTTCGGCGACGTGTCTGCGGTCGCGGCCGTGGATTAAGTGGACATCGGCTTCGGCGTCGATCAACCGGTGGTGTCTTGTGATGACCGCGAGGGCCATCGTTGGCCACAAAGCGGGTCCGACAACCCGAACAGTGCCCGACATCAAGAGGCGAGTGATGCGACGATTGGGCGAAGAGACGGAAACGATGGCCAACCGGTACGGCAAAGAGGTTGTGGTGTACGAGTGCTCGCGGGCCAGCTTTTACCGGGCGGTGGCTGTGGGCGCTTTCTTTGCATTTTTGACCATGGTCGTCTTTGCCAACGTACTGCTGTTCTGGTACATCCAGACCTATCAGCCACAACTCGTTGCCCACAATCGCCGCGTCGGTAACGACCAGACACTGTCCGCGCGCCAAAAGTTGGCCGCCGTTTACGACGCCTGTAAACTATATATACTGACCAGTGGTGCGGCCGTTATCATAGGCCACGCGGTGCTCATCTGGGCGTTGGTCCGACTGACCCGCTCTGTGACGTGCATTACTGTGCGGCTGACCCCCGCCGGCACCGATACGGTCACCATATATTGCTACTCAATGCTCGGGACGATCACTAATTACCACAAACATCAGTACCCGTTGAACCACGTGTCGGCTCTCCGGCCGCGGATTAACAACAACAAGAGCACTGTTATACCGGTGCGAGCGATGGGCCGACTGTTGCCCTTTCACGTGGACAGTAGGGGTACTTTTCTGGACCCAACACTCTTTGATGAGACCGTCGGTGTGTTTAGAAAGTTTTGATTACATTTATGACCATTAGATGATAATTCGTGTTTTTTATCATGTGTTAAACGCTTTTTGTTGTAAATAAATTACTATTAAATTATGTTTTGATGCGAATGTAATGTTGTTTTAATTGAGTTTTAATTTAATTTTTCTATTAATACAATGTTTTGCACTCTTTATAGAAAGTAATTAATTTATATTGGATTAGAGTCTTGTTTTAATTATTACTCGGTTTATAAACTAATTTTAAAATATTTAACAATTAATAGTTGAGTTGTTAACACGTCTGAAATCCATTGGATCCGCTTTGAGAGCACAATTTGAATGACTTTTGTTGGCGAACACTATATCACACAAAATGACAGAAATTGTGATTAATTTGATGAGTGAATGAAAACACATTCAATATTTCTAATGTATTACTTGGCGTCCAAAGCGCTCATATAATTAACATGAATAGCACTGATGTTTCCGGTGCCCAAACCGATTGGCTGAGACTTAGCCGCCGTAACTGATCCCAATGGCCGGTCGGACACATACAGGTGACTATACTTACCCTCAGAGCTCAATAAATTGAGAGTTACCTGGAAATTGGCATTTGTTTGGTTGCTATAAAGTGTAATCTCAATTATTTCGCCCACAACTGGTTGTTGACTCATTTCTACCTGAACACTGTTTATTAACTAGTTCATTTAATTAATTGTGTCTTATATTATGTTACATACAACACTAATATTAAACAAATTTTATTAATTGTAAATTATGGTCTTAGACTATTACTATAACTGTCATTAGATATGATCCGCTCGTTTCTATGAACATCTCATTTGGTGTTGAAGTTTGGTTTAGTTTATTATCCGGATTATCATAATATGCGAAATCAAATTGCATGGGTTGTGCCAATTGGGCGCACTCACCACGATTATAAGCGGGTAATGTTGGGCACCGATAGGCTATAAATTGGCAATCATTCTGAGGCACAATAACGGGATATATGTATGCCATCCCATGGGAGCACAAAATTAGATATGAAATATCGTCTGAAATTATGGCCAATTTAACGGAATATTAATTATAATGATTACCAATGATATGTATAAAGAATTCATGCTTATTGTGGTCTAACCATAACTAAAAGATTAGGCTAACTTGCCTTTTAGCTTATACGATGGTTTTAGGTCTGTTTCTAGTGCTTTGAGCAATTTGCATTTGGGCTGAAAATTACCTGTATTATATCAATTTGATAAATTGTACAATTTATATTATATATGTATTTAATTGATTCAAACCTCCGTTCACTCGGAAATCGTAGTGCCCTAAAGAGGCCTTATTTCCCAGAAATCCGGTAATACTTATGTCTAAAGTAAACAAATTAATAGTTATTTATAAAAAAATAGAATTAATAATATTTTTAGTAAATTAACCTCCTTCGTAGACAATGCCTGACGAGGTATGAGTACAGACAACGAGCTGAGCGTCGTTTTTGCTGAGTCGGGGCAACCCATCGCCATAACCGGGTCCCGCCGGGTCCAGACCTGATATCTGCGCCACTTTATTGGGAAGTAATGATTGACCCGCAAAGCCCATCACATGAGCGCCCATACTGTGGCCAATCAGATGGATGTCATTCAATGAGACACCGGTGGCAGCGATTAACCGATTGATAAAATATCCGATCATTTGTCCGACCACTTGTGTCTTGGGAACCACTGGGAAGTACAGCACATCAGCGGCTACTTTAGACCAGTCAACACAAAACACGTTACCATCCATTTGGCTGAGTATGAAATCAGTCGCGTTCTCAGACAAACACACAAAAAATTAGTTTTAATCATTATTTCATAAATTGTTTTAAACATTTTTTGATAGATTTATGAAATAAAGTGAATTTTAAAAATTAGTCATACTTTCATCCAGTGTCGTCCCGTGATATCCGATATATTGAATCCACTCGTCCAGCCGTGGGCTAAAAATTTGATCCGTTTTTTAGGATCAAATGTAGTGATCTTAATGCTATCATCGCTTGGATTGTATGGCAATATAGTTAGTGAGGGATTGTCTCGATTGAGACGAGTAAACAAAATGAACTGCAGATCCCAATCGGTTGGATATTTATTGCTATCATTGTCTGAATTAAATTAACATTAATATAGGAAATTGTGTTGAATTCAATATTTTGAATCATAAAAATTGTGATATTTTTGTACAGAATATTTCTAACGTTCGTTATATTCGTTATTAAATGAATAAAGAATATTCTGTACAAATTTAACATTAATTGAGTAGTTAAATGATTTTTTACTTACTGTGTATTTGTATTGAACTTTTATTAAATGTCTCCTAAATATAACAATTAAGTTATTATTTATTTATAAATTAAATATTTAACAGAATTTGTTACAATTTGCTGTCCATTAGAATAGATACTAAATATAGTTAATAACAAAATAATAATTTTAAACATTATTAAATGCGATTAATTCACAATTTTTTGTATAATTAGTATTTGTTTCAAATTTTAGGCAATTAATTATTAATTTATGAATTATTTTCATTTAAAATGTAATATACTGTACATGTATTTTCGAGTTATTTAATAATAATTGTTATAAACTTTATAGAATGTCAAAAACAGAGATAAACTAGGTGGTTGACAAAGTTATGAATTTAAAATACATGTGCAAATGTCATATTATTATATTTTAAACTTTTAAAAAATTATAGTTTGTTGTTTACAATTAATTGTTTTATAACGTATATGAGTAATAAATTATGCTTATCAAGTTTTTAATTTGAATTTAATTTTGTCACACATTTAACATTCATATTTATTGTAGTAAATTTTAATCAGGTTTTCAATAACACCTGTTTATCTTCCAGTTTTATTTAAATACTTAATTTATATCCAATTAAAATGTTATAACACATTAATAATCAATAAATTGTCTAAAATAAATTTAAAAAATAATTTCTTAATTGTTTTTAATTATTAATTGTTTAATAATCAATAGTTTAGTTGTGGTGATGGTTAACAGATTTGAAAACCATTGGATCCGCTTTGAGAGCACAGTTTAGATGACTTTTGTTGGCGAACACTATATCATAGAAAATGTGTGATTAATTTAATAAAGAATTAATAAAACAATTAATAATAAATTACTTGACGTCCAAAGCGCTCATATAATTAACATGAATAGTACTGATCTTTCCGGTGCCCAAACCGATTGTCCGAGACTTTGCCGACGTAACTGATCCCAATGGCCGGTCTGAGACATACAGGTGACTATAATTACCCTCAGGACTCAATAAAGTGAGAGTTATTTGGAAAGTGGCATTCGTTTCGGTGCCATAAATTGTAATTTCAATAATTTGACCCACAAGTGGTGTTTGGCTCACTTCCACCTGTTGTGAAAAATAAGTGATTAATTAACTTAATTAACAAATAATAAAATTTAATGTCTGTTGTAATAGAAATTTGTTGAACATAATTGACATTTAATACCAGAATCTGATAATGATATTGACAGTAATCATATGAACCGCTCGTTTCTATGAACATCTCATTTGGTGTTGAAGTTTGGTTTAGTTTATTATCCGGATTATCATAATATGCAAAATCAAATTGCATGGGTTGTGGCAGTTGTGCACATTTCCCCTGTTCATAATCGGGTAATGTCGGGCACCCATAGGCTATAAATTGACAGCTATCTTGAGGGACAATAACCGGGTATCTGTAGGCCATCTCATGGGAACAGAATATTAAATATTGAACATTATCTACAAATGAACAATAAAATGAATTATTAATGAGTGAGAATGAGTAGCAAAGAGTAGCGAGTAATTAAGTTATACCTGAAATATTTTTTATATTACTCGGTAATAAGTCTGTTTTAATTAGTTTGAGAAAGTTGCATGCTGGCTGAAAGTTACCTGAATTATAATAAGTTTAGTTAATTATAGTACATGTTATACCACATTTATAAAATGTAATTAATTCAAACCTCCGTTTACTCGGAAGTCATAGTGTCCTAAAGAGGCCTTATTTCCCAAAAATCCGGTAACACTTATGTCTAAAAAATAATAGATGTTTGAAATGTTTTGTTTTATATTGTCTGGGAATAATTTTCTGCAAAGGAACCTCCTTGGTAGACAATGCCCGACGAGGTGTGAGTGCAAACTACAAGTTGAGCGTCGTTTTTGCTGAGTCGTGGCGACCCATCGCCATAACCGGGTCCCGCCGGGTCCAGACCTGATATCTGCGCCACTTTATTGGGAAGTAATGATTGACCCGCAAAGCCCACCACATGGGCGCCCATACTGTGGCCAATCAGATGGATGTCATTCAATGAGACACCGGTGGCAGCGATTAATCGATTGATAAAATATCCGATCATTTGTCCGACCACTTGAGAGTTGGGAACCACTGGGAAGTACACGAGATCAGCGGCCACTTTGGACCAGTCGACGCTAATCACATTAGCATCCATTTCGTTGAGTATGAAATCAGTCACATTCTGAACACAAATATACATAAAATTAGTTTTAATTAATATTTCATAAGTTGTTTCAAAAGAATCAATATATTTTTTTGAGTTTTATGAAATAAAAAAATTAAAAGTTATGAATACTTTCATCCAATACTCTCCAATAAGATCTGAAATATTGTATCCACTCGTCCAGCCGTGGACCAGGAATTTGGTGGGCTTTTTGGGATCAAATGTAGTGATATTTATGCTATCATCGGTCGCATTGTATGGCAGTATAGTTAGTGAGGGATTGTCGTGATTGAGACGAGTAGACAAAATGAACTGCAAATCCCAATCGCTGGGAAACCCATCGCTATTAGTGGCTATTTATGCATAATATTTGTTGAGTTAAATATTTTGAATCAAATTTTTGTAATTATTTGTATAGAATATTCTCTAAAAATTTATACTGAAATTGATAGTTAAATGATTTGAAACTTACTTTGCGTTTGTACCAAATTTTTACTGAAATTATCCTAAATATAACAATTAAATTTAATATTTATTGTAAAATTTAATATTTTTTAAAATTTCTTACAATTTGGAAACCCTTAGAATAAGAATTAAATATAATTAATAACAAAATAATAATTTTAAACATTATTTATATCGATTAATTTACAAATAAATTTTTTTATTTTATTAGAATTAGTCTTTGTTATAAATTAATTAAAAACAATTAATTTTACGATTTTATCTCATGTAAATGTAATCTATTTATACGTTTTTTAAATAAGAATTGTCATAAAATTTATACAATGTCAAAACTAGCAACAAACTACATAATAGAAGTTTTAAAAAGATTATTTATTATTTGAATGACATGTGGTGATGTCATAATATTATAACTGATTAAATTATATTGTATGCAATAAATAATTTGTTATCTAGTTATTTTATATTATAAAATTTATAATATTTATAATTATCAGGTTTTAAATATGTATTTAATTTGTTCATACATTCTACATTTATATAAATTTTATTTTGTTTTTTTTAATAATACATGTAATCAATAATACAATTACAATCTAACAGTTTTATATAAAATAATTATATAATAACTAAATCAATATTTTAGTTGTGATTACGATTGACACGTCTGAAAACTATTGGATCCGCTTTTATAGCATAGTTTGGATGACTTTTGTTGGCGAACACTATATCACACAAAATGATAGAAATTGTGATTAATTTGATGAGGATTTGAAAAAACTGTTAATATTTTAGATGTATTACTTGACGTCCAAAGCGCTCATATAATTAACGTAAATAACACTAATCTTTGTGGCGCCCAAACCAATAGCCCGAGTCTTGGCCGACGTAACTGATCCCAATGGCTGGTCCGACACATACAGGTAACTATACTGACCCTCAGAGCTGAGTAAAGTCAAGGTTGTCTGGAAAGTAACATCAGTTTCGGTGCCATAAATTGTAATCTCAATAATTTCACCCACAAGTGGTTTTTGGCTCACTTCCATCTGTTGTGGCATTTAATTGATTAATAAAATATTAAATATAATTCAATTGTTATATTATATATTGTAAAATATATTAAACATTTTATTACAAGAATCTGATAATGATATTGACAGTAATCATATGAACCGCTCGTTTCTATGAACATCTCATTTGGTGTTGAAGTTTGGTTTAGTTTATTATCCGGATTATCATAATATGCAAAATCAAATTGCATGGGTTGTGCCAATTCAGCGCACTCTCCATTTTTATAATCGGGTAATGTCGGGCACCGGTAGGCTATAAATTGACAGTCATTTTGAGGCACAATAACGGGATATACGTAAGCCATTATATGGGAGCACACAATTAGATTCAAGATATCGTCTGAAATTATGGTCAATTTAATGAAATATCAGTTAAATTTATAATGATTTCAAATATTATATATAAAGAGCAGTAAAGTCTAGCCATACCTATAAGATCAGGATCACTTTCGATAGTTTGCGCACTCAATAACATTGTATCTGTTTTTATTTGTTTAAGCAAGTTACAATGGGGCTGATAATTACCTACATTACACAAATATATTATAATACTAAATATTTATCGTTTAATGATTTAATTGATTCAAACCTCCGTTCACTCGGAAGTCGTAGTGACCTAAAGAGGCCTTATTTCCCAAAAATCCGGTAATACTTATGTCTAAAGCAAACAATCATTAATAGTTTAAAGTTTTTATTAATTACTATTAATATTTTGAGTGAAGTGAGACCTCCTTCGTAGAGAATGCCCGACGAGGTGTGAGTGCAGACCACGAGTTGGGCGTCATTTTTGCTAAGTCGGGGCAACCCATCGCCATAACCGGGTCCCGCCGGGTCCAGACCTGATATCTGCGCCACTTTATCGGGAAGTAATGATTGACCCGCAAATCCCACCACATGAGCGCCCAAACTGTGGCCAATCAAATGGATGTCATTCAATGAGACACCGGTGGCAGCGATTAATCGATTGATAAAATAGCCGATCATTTGTCCGACCACTTGAGTCTTGGGAACCACTGGGAAGTACAGCACATCACCGGCCACTTTAGACCAGTCAACACAAAACACGTTACCATCCGTTTGGCTGAGTATGAAATCAGTCACATTCTGAACACAAATATAAAGGTTTATATAACCAAACTTTACATACAATTGGTTTAATCAATATTTCATAAATTATATTATAAATAGTTATTTTACTTTCATCCAATACACTCCCATTTGGTCCGTTTTATTGTAGCTGTTAAGCCATCCGTGGACTAAAAATTTGGTGGGCTTTTTGGGATCAAATGCAGTGATCTTAATGCTATCATCGGTTGGATTGTATGGCAGTATAGTTAGTGAGGGATTGTCTCGATTGATACGTGTAAACAAAATGAACTGCAGATCCCAATCGCTGGGAAACCCATCACTATTAGTAGCTATTTAAAGTATTTATGCAAAGTATTGATTACATGTTAAGTTTACATAGAATATTCTGTAACAATTTTTAATTGAATGATTTAATACTTACTCTGTGTTTGTAACAAACTGTTATCAAAATTCTCCTAAATATAAAAATTATTAAAAGTTAATATTTTTAAAAATTTAATGTTTTAAGAATTCATTACAATTCGGTGTCCTTTAGTATAGGAATTAAATATAGTTAATAACAAAATTATAATTTTAAGCATTATTTAAAGCGCTTGAATCACAAATGTTTTGTAAAATTGGGTTTGTTTGATATTTTATAAGTAATTAATTATTTGAATTTATTTCATGTAAAAATGTAATATATTTATTAATTACTGTATTTTATACATGTTATAAAAGTTATAAATGTCAAAATTAGTGATAAACCACATAATAGAAGTTTGAAGAACTTTATCTATTTGAAATATAAATTATATGTAATAATAATATAGTGGTATTATATAGGATACCATATAATTGATTAAATATTAAATTCATTATATTTATACTATAAACTACTCTAGTTGTTAAATACCATATAGAAATTTAATTTAGACACACATTGTACATTCGTATACAGTATGTTCATATAAATATTACTTAATTTATTTTCAATAATACCTGTTTTATATAAAATATTTTAATTATGTCAAATTAGTCAGTTTTATAACATCACATCATAATATCAGCTTAATCGATAAGTAATTGCATTAAAAATACCCTTCTGTATGAATGGCTGTTAAATTTGTTTAGTGTTAGTCAACTAATCCGTTTAAACACCATTTAATACATTCATTATTTAGCTTTAATTCCATGTAAAAAAATTATAAAATTTATACCAAGAAGTGACAATTTTACCCGAACTCCCGATACCGAATACATTAACAAATTTAACCTATTTTAGTTTTTACTCATTATGATTAGTAAATTGGCTCACAAAAACAATGTATTAGTTTTAGATTATGTATTATTTACCAATCAATGATATGAACTGGTTAAAAGGTGCAGTCTTCTTGGTTATGACCACAAGGACTGCACCCGAACGGGCCGACCCCGAAAAGTGGAAAATCAGGCGCCAAATTATCGAGATGTGTCCAATTCATGTTATCTATATATGGAATTGTTGGTCATTATATGCTTTCACTGACCACCAATTTATGACCATTTAAAAGCGATTACCGTGGTGTCCAGAGCAGGTAATTGGACACATCCTCAAAATATGGCTATTTTTTGCCTATTTTTAGACCACATTTTTCGAAAATCACCCGAAAAAAATTAGAGGACTTTGGGTCATAAATCTCTCCACACCCACCATATACTCCAGTTATCCCACTATCACATGATTGTTAATATCATTCTCTGATGTCATGTCTTAGGGGTATAAAATGCTAAACAAAAGTAGTGGTCAAAACAGACATCACCTACTTCTTTGACTCACAGGGCAGCCATTTTTATCGGGAAGTTAATGAAAATTTGTCCGAATGATGGCCAATAGTTGCAAATAATTATGGCTATTTTATAATTTAAATTATTTTTTTAAATATTAAGACAAATGAATTTTCTTTGAAAGACTAATTTAATGCAAAGACTTATCGATTGAGCTAATACATGTTAAATTATTTATAATAAATTTTAAAAATAATATTTTCAAATAATTGTATAATAATAAATATTTTAGTTGTGATAATGATTAACACGTCTGATAACCATTAGATCTACTTATATAGCATAGTTTGGATGACTTTTGTTGGCGAACACTATATCACACAAAATGATACAAAATATTCACTATTTTAATGAAAAATTAGAAAAACACTTCTAAATATTTTTAATGTATTACTTGACGTCCAAAGCGCTCATATAATTAACACGAAGAGCACTGATCTTTCCGGCGCCCAAACCGATGGCCCGAGTCTTAGCAGCAATAATTGATCCCAATGCCCGGTCGGATACATACAGGTGACTATATGTACACTCAGAGTTCAGTAAAGTCAATATTATCTGGAAAGTGGTCTCAGTTTTGGTGCCATAAAGTGTAATCTCAATGATTTCGCTTACAATCGGTGTTTGGCTCACTTCTACCTATTGTGACAGTTAATTGATTAATTAAATTAAGTATAATAATTCAATGTCTGTTGTAATAAACATTTTTCAATATAATTGACATTTAATACCAGAATCTGATAATGATATTGACAGTAATCATATGAACCGCTCGTTTCTATGAACATCTCATTTGGTGTTGAAGTTTGGTTTAGTTTATTATCCGGATTATCATAATATGCAAAATCAAATTGCATGGGTTGTGGCAGTTGTGCACACTCTCCCCGTTCGTACTGTTCTAATTTCGGGCACCGATAGGCTATGAATTGACAGTCATTTTGAGGCACAATAACTGGATATAAATATGCCATCAAATGTGAGCACACAATTAGGTTTAATGCATTTCCTGAATTAATAGTCAATTAAATGAAATATGAATTATAAAAATAACGTTCAATCAATACCTTTCAAATCTAAGTCACTTAAAGTGCTCAAGTCCGCTTTTAATTGTCTGAGCAAGGTGCATTTGGGCTGATAATTACCTATATTATATACAATTGATAGATTAGGTATACGATATTTGTATGATTTAATCGATTCAAACCTCCGTTCACTCGGAAGTCATAGTGTCCTAAAGAGGCTTTATTTCCCAGAAATCCGGTAATACTTATGTCTAAAGCAAACAAATTAGAAATTGTATAAAAAAATTTTTTAAAAATAAGTACTAGTTATTTTAAAACTATTGATATATACAAACCTCCCTCATAGACAATACCCGATGTGGTGTGAGTGCAGACCACAAGTTGAGCGTCGTTTTTGCTGAGTCGTGGCGACCCATTGCCATAACCGGGTCCCGCCGGGTCCAGACCTGATATCTGTCCCACTTTATTGGGAAGTAGTGATTGACCCGCAAAGCCCACCACATGAGCGCCCATACTGTGGCCAATCAGATGGATGTCATTCAATGAAACACCGGTGGCAGCGATTAACCGATTAATAAAATAGCCGACCATCTGTCCGACCACTTGTGTTTTGGGAACCACTGGGAAGTATAGCACATCAGCGGCCACTTTAGACCAGTCGACACAAAACACATTAACATCCAATTGGCTGAGTATGAAATCAGTCATATTCTACCAGAAATACATAACTTAAATAATTTCTTCACAAATTGTATGAATATTTTGAGAACTTTAAAAAAAATATTTTTAATAAAATCAAATCAATACTTTCATCCAATTTAATTTAGAAGTATAAGTCTTATTGTATCCGCCGAGCCATCCATGAACTATGAATTTAGTTGGCTTTTTGGGATCAAATGTAGTGATCTTAATGTTACCATCGGTTGGATTGTATGGCAGTATAGTTAGTGAGGGATTGTCTCGATTGAGACAAGTGAACAAAATGAACTGTAAATCCCAATCGGTTGGATATCTGTCTAATTATATCAGATTATTATTGAATAATATATTAAATAATATGATGAATAATATTAATGTAATTTTTTGAACAAAATATTATAGAATTGTGTAATAAATGAATAGTTATATAATTATATAAGAATTTTTTAAATTAAATTTTAAAACATTTCAATATTTACTCTGAGTTTGTGGCACATTATTACTGTGATTTTCCTTAGCATAAATATAATGTATTCTCATTAATAATCCAATTAAAATTTTAAAATTTAAATTTTTACAATTTTCTCTCCCATAGTATAAGAACTTAATAAAGTTACAAACAAAATACTAATTTTCAACATTATTTAAAGCGATTTAACTCACAAATTTTGTAAAAATATTAAAACTTATAGTATTTGATTTGAATAATAATCAAAAATAACTTAATTCATTTATTTAGTATAAAAATGTAATGAATCAAAAAAATATTTTAAAACAATTATTATTCAAGTTGTAAAATTATATAAAATATAATATTATATAAAGTTTTGGAAAGTTATTACTAAGTTATTACTTTTTTAAAATACATTCTACAAAGTGGGTGTCATAATATTATAATTAATTATATGATATTATAAATTCAAATAATTAATGTTAATATCTAGTTGTTTTATAATACTAATCTGACTGAAATTTTTTTCAAATATTATGCAAACATTATGTATTTGTAATAATAGTTGCCAAATTATTGTTATTTATAAATTAACTTATGTTTTGTTTGATGTTATATTTAATAAGTTATTAAACAAATGCATTGATTTATTTTTATAAATAAAATTATATTTATTTTGTTTTGAAATTTAAGAATAAAATATACGCTTAAATATAAAGCTTTGAATTCAAAATGAGTCCACAAAACAATTATAAAAGTAATAAAAGGCTTAAAACAAATGTCATAAACAGTTCCATGAGTTATACCTCTGGAGAGAATCTCTTAACAGTTTTACCAATTTTATAATTATGTCTACAGTTTTAAAAACTTGTTTATTTTTATTAAATATTCTTTCAAATGATTTATATAATTGTTATACTTATGTTTATTTAACATTCAATTTATTACTTATTTTGACAATTTTAATTACAAAGTTTATTTATTTTGTTATTTATTTAATTATTAAAATAATTTATTAGAAATATTAAACCCAAAAACAATAGTAAACAAGGTTAATTAGTGAAATTTAATATTCAATTTACAATTATTTCAATATCATGTTGTTTTGATACTTTCATAACTGATTGTTACAAACAATATAATAGACTATATTTATAAATGTGGTCAATAAGCAAGGTTAATTATCGGACAAAGTTTTTAAAAAACAACTGCAGTAAATACAGTAATGTATATTTGTTTATCTATTAGACGCCTAATGTCTGTGAAATATAATCCGTTAAAGTTATATATTCTGTGTTTATATTCTGCGCCCAAAATGTGTTCAATTATTATTTTATTAAATAATATTGTTTAAAATTAATTGTCTTAAATTAGGTTAATTGTCATTACATTAAAACTAATAGTATTTGAGACAAAAACACATAAATACCACACAATTTATATTTTAGTCTTTATTTTAATTCACTGTTTGTTTGAATAAACTTCTAAAACATAAATTATTATCTGTTATTCAGAGTTATAACAATAATATAATGAAAATAATAGAGATATCATTAACTATATTATCGGTGATATTGGCTGTCATTTGTGTCCCAAAACCAATTCAATATAATAACGGCGAATATGAAGGTCTTGTGGTCACTATTCATCCCGATATCACAGAAAGCGATCAATTGGTCGCTAATCTTAAAGAATTGCTAATAAAATCGTCGACTTTTCTCTACGGGGCGACTGAAAGCAGGGCTCAGTTTAAAGACATAGCAGTTATTCTTCCGGAGTTGTGGACTCAGAAATCTGAATACCAAGCGATCCCGGACTCGCATTGGGACGACGGCCACATCCGGATCTCACCATCGACTCACACCCTAAATGACAAACCGTTCACTTTTCAACCGAGAGGTTGCGGACAATCGGGTGAATACATCCAATTGACCGATAGCTTCGTTGAAAAACTTAATCAAAACACTTTTGATTATCCGGGTATTTATTTTGTAATCAAATGAAATATTTTAATACTTAATTATTAATAATATCTTTAAGAGAAACTATTGGTGAATGAGTGGTCACACTATAGGTATGGTGTGTTTGATGAGTTCGGAAGTGCCGGTGATTATAGATATCCAACATTTTATATGACTAACGGAACGGTATTTCATAATAATTTATATTTAATTAATACTTTACTATTCTTTCTAAAATTAATTTAACTTATAATGTTTCTAAAGTTGTAAATGCATTTTGATTACACTCAGATATATCCCACTTTCTGTGTTTCTGGTATCAAAGGCAATGCTGAGGATATGAATGGCAATACATGTAAGATATACAGCACGGGTCGAGTCGACCACAATTGCAAATTCATTGCCGATAAATCAGACAACAGTCCCATCGCTTCCATCATGTCTTTGCCTCACTTTCAATCCGTATGTCTCTCTCTCTCTCTCTCTCTCTCTCTCTCTCTCTNTCTCTCTCTCTCTCTCTCTCTCTCTCTCTCTCTCTCTCTCTCTCTCTCTCTCTCTCTCTCCAAATAATTAATGAATTGATTGATAGACTGAAAAGTATTGCGAAAACAATACAATTGACCCAAAAGTAAATCACAACTCCTTTGCGCCGAACGAACACAATATTCAATGCTCTTATCGTAGTGTAAAAGATGTGATCGATAGTCACCACGACTTCACACAATCGTATAAATTATAATTCAATATACAATAAATTTAATTAATATAATTGATATTTAGAAATACCAATGTTTATACGGAACCCAATATAACAGTATATCAAATTGAACCGCCAAAAGAACATAACCAAGATGGTACATTTATTTTAGCACTCGATATGTCGGGAAGTATGGATTCCTTTTGGGCAGGTTTTCTATCAGTAATGACCAAACGTTTAATCACAAATCTCATTAAAGATGGCATGCAATTAGGAATTACTGCTTTCGCGTCCAATTCTTTAGATATACATCCAATCGTTCCGATCGACAACGATAGCCGAAAAAATCTGTCCGACACAATACCTCCGCAGCTATGGGGCGGAACAAACATACCTCGAGGTTTGAGATCAGCTCTGGAGATGCTTCGAGCGCATGGATTGGATGGTCGGGGCGTCACTATTATATTGATCACTGATGGCGAGAATAATGAAGATCATCACGAGTTTAGTTCATTGGAATTGGAAATTCTTAATGCGGGCGTTAGAGTGGATACCATTGCCATCGGGTATAATGTGGAACAGAAACTCAACGATATAACTACTCAATCGGGAGGAATGATATATCATGTGAATGAAGGCGATGACAGTGCTATCAACACATATTTCACTGATATAATCACACAACAGGTCATTAGCTACTATTCTATAATTATGTTAATTTTCACATTAAATTTGTTTATAACCAAATAAAAGCCAGACATTGAGGATCAATCTGTGCTAATATTGAATAGAGAAATAATTACAATCGGAGACACGACTGTTACGAAACCAGTTTTTATAGACCAAGAATTGGGTAAAAACACTAAATTCGTGGTCCATTCCGACAATATTCCAGACATTAATATCATATTAATATCACCAATTGGAGAGATATATAATGACACCAATTATAAAATTATAAATAATAAACAATTCATCGAGTTATTGATCACCGATTCAGAAGTGGGCGAATGGAAACTGGAATTTAGTCAAAGCACTCCCGGCTGGCCATTAGGGAACATAACGGCAGAGTTGTCGGTCACGAGTGAACCCAAAGATCGGAAACAACAACCAATTAGAGTGAATGCATTTTTTGGCCATTTAGACGTTACATACCCTTCGAGTGCTTTAATTTACGTCCAATTAATGAAAGCATACAACCCTGTGATTGACGCTAAAGTGGTGGCCGTTATTGGGCTTCCCGGCGATCAAACCATTGAGGTTTTATTTAAATAAATATTCTTTTAGGTAATAATTACATAGATAATTTATTATTTGTTTGCTATGAAAGCTTGATCTCTACGACGACGGCGCCGGATATGATATCAGAGCCAATGATGGCGTCTATACCACGGCTTTCACGCAATTCAATCTAAACGATAGATATTCGGTGTCCGTGAAGATCACTGACATTCCGTCCGTAACGAGACTCATAACATATGGAACCACTTTACCGGTGGCCACAGGATTGTCACTTAAAAGACAAGCGCCAAATATGCCAATAATCCTTCCAGGAATAGCACCTAAAATATCTAAGAGTGAGTTTCAGATCAACGATTTCATCGCAACGGATGGCACAGAACCCGAAGAGACCATTATATCGATACCACTAAACGGATCGTTCACTCGTGCGGCAGAAATGGGCGCTTTTCTTGTCGATAACTTTAATCTCGGCTCCGATGGTATGAGTCCCGGAAGAGTCACTGATTTACAGGTGATTGCCTCTGAGGACAATCGTACGGTTGAGCTCCAGTGGACGGCACCGGGAGATGACTCGTACACAGGTTTACATACAATTTCAATTTCCATAATTCTAAAAATTATTGTAAACTAAAGTATTTTATAAATTAATATCTGAAGGAAAAGCAACAAAAATAGATTTGCGGACATCTCTGAGACCCGAAACTCTTTACAGACAAGAATTGTTTGACTTAAATGTGGTAATCGATGATCAGATGTTAGACACGGGAAGTCTCGCACCTCCAGAGGGACATACGATAATGAAAGTCAAATTTCAGATTCCGTCCGCACTCTTGATGTCCGCCAATACACCGAAAGTTACCGTTTATTTCGGTTTACGAGCCGTCGATGACAACACCAATTGGGGAGAAGTCTCTAACATTGCATTCATTAGCGTTGAACCACTACCTGATCCCATACCGAGCACTACTACTTCCATTCCTCCGAATACAACAACACCTCCTTCTAGTGGTAGTTCTTGTGGTAACACTTCCTGCGGCGATAAGACAGTGATAGAGACGAGACATACAGTGGTTGTGCTCCAGAAGATTGTTCGCATGGAAACTAATCTCAAGAATCAAACAGCGGTTCAAATACCCAAAGAGTTGGGATTGAATACCACTTTTACGGTCACAAGCGATGGCATCACTCTATTGAATGTGACTCTCGAGTCACCGAATGGAACCGTTTATGGGATGACAAGCGATTGGGCGGTCAGTAAGCCGTCGGAATCAAGCGCTGGGTTTCGTATACCAGTGGCCGACGCAGGTATGGACTCATCCATATTGTGGTCATCTTTGGCCACGAGTTTGTCATAATTGTAATAATGATTGCATTTGAAGGCCAATGGAGTGTTGGACTCGAGAAGACCCGATCGGATGCAGTGGTGGCCGACGTGTCGGTGACCAGCGATGAGAGAGTTGGCCAGTCGTACGAGTGATGGTTCCCACGGACTGACCATTCATTGCTTACATTATATAAAATATTAACATTTTATTAAATTTACATTTTATGGCACTTTTAATGCTTTTTTAATGCAATTTTAATTAATTACTTACATATTACTAATTAATTTTGTTTTGATATATTTATAATGACAACTAAAATCTTAAATATATTTTTATTTAATTTTTAAATAGTTATATTAATTTTATTGAAATTTTGTATTATGTGTTAAATTCTGGCATTAATTCTGAAAAGTTGTTAAAAGTTAGAAAACTTTGGAAAATGCAATTCATATAAAATCCCTTCACTTCTCATATGTTTTCACTTTGTGTTTACATTTTTGTTATTTAATTGTTGTTTAGTTTTGGACTTAAATTGTATTCAAATTAATTGTGAATTAGTTTTAAATCTGACATTAAATTCAATTATGGATTCAATGATTAATATTAACGATATTTTGGATGAATTATTGTCTGAAAACAATAGACTTTTACATGAAATCCAATGTTTATGTGAAATGAAAACACATTTAATTAAAATTCACTCAAAATATGAAACACTTATCGATTCAGAAGACAATCAACACTTCCGGACATTATCTCAACGATTGGATCAAATAAAAGACCAAAATATCACTTCAGATGTCAATCACGTGAAGAGTGAAACTGATTTGACACTAAAGAGTCCATTAAATGGCAGACAATTGAGAAGAAAATGTAAAACACGAAAAGTAATGCAAAACTTGAGTGAAGACATGAGTGAAGAATCAGATGATAGTTATGTCGAAACGAAGAGAAAGAAAAGCTATGAAACACAAGAAGTGGTGACAAAACCCAATACAAGACAATTGAAAAGAAAACATCAAAAACAAAGAGTTATTCAAACAATGGATTACAACAACGAAGACATTAATGAAGACTCGGATGAAAGTTATGGCAAAGAATTGAATGAAGATATGACTGAATCGACGGATAATGTGAAGACAAATGCGAGAAAAATACAAAGAGTAATGAAATGGGATTCAAATCAATCACTCTCTGAATCCTTGCGATACAATCGGACAGAAAGAAAGAAATACTTTGATTTCAATACAAATGCATTCATTTGTCCGATAAATGAGTGCCACAAGAGTTTCGGGACTGATATTAGATTTTACGGCCATTTATATGGCACTCATTCTAACCAAGCATTTAAGTGTAAAGTCAAAGGATGTGATAAAGTCTGTAAGAATATGACTTGTCTTAGTTCACACGCCAGAACCCATGAGAACCGACGGATCAGATATCGGTGTGAATACAAAGAATGTCACAAAACTTTTTTAAGTAGACCCGGTCTGAAGAAGCACTCCATGACACACAGCACTCAAAGCACTTCCACACCAATTGTCAAGAAGTTTAAGTGTCATTACAGCGAATGCCAGAAGAGGTTCGCGAGAAAAGAAGGTCTAACTGAACATTTGGAGAGACATTCATCTGTGAGGCCCTATAGGTGTGACTTCATTGGGTGCGGGAAGTGCTTCAAGACATTCCCTGATCTCAGACGTCATTCATTAGTACACAAAACGGGTCCCACTTTTAGGTGTGATGTCGACCGATGTGTTAATATGTTTTACACCGAATACCACCGAAGCCTTCATCACAAGTCTGTTCACAATTACTGTCCAAAAGAGTCTGCGGTTTATGTCGAGAAAGCGATGGAAGAAGTCATTGAAGACTTGGATAACAATTGTATGGAAACGACAGAAACTATTGATTCAAATAATGACAATAAGTCTATAAAACAGGAATCAGTGAAAACAGATTCAAACCATTCAACGGCTGATATACTGATCAATAATCGCACGGAAAGAGAGAAGTGCTTTGATTTGAATGCAAAGACATTTAAATGTCCGCTAAATTGTTGCAACAAAAGTTATGCGACAAATGCGAGGTTTTTAAAACATTTGCATAGATTTCATACGAATAGACGCTTTGAATGCGAATTCAATGATTGCAATAAAGTATTCAAAACACAGTTTGAGCTGAAAATCCATTCAGGCATTCATTTAAGCGATAAACCATTTAAATGTCATTATAATGGCTGTGATTATGAAACGCATTCAAATAAAATATTGAACAGACATTTTGTGATCCATTCAACGGAGAGACCAGTGTTTAGATGCGATGTCATTGACTGCGGGAAGACATTGAAGAGTAAATTGTCTCTCGAAAAGCATATACAGAATATGCACGTAAGCGGACCGACACTCAAGTGTGGAATCAATGGCTGCAGTGATATGTTCACAAATGAACACCAAAAACGCAAACATCAAACCCTTGTCCACAATCGGGAACCGCTCGCTTACAAGCGTCTGAAACACCGGTGCGATTGGCCGGGATGTGAGTGGACGGGCAGAGGGATCGCCGAACATAAGCGCTCACATACGGGCGAAAAGCGATACCAGTGTTTATGGCCCGACTGTGGCCAACAGTTCCGAAAGAGTTGTCACTTAACTAATCACATGAATGTTCACAACAATGTTAGGCCCTATGCCTGTCATTGGCCCGGATGTCAGTATAGGGCCACTAATAGTGCTAATCTTATCGCACATATAAAACAAGTCCATAAAATGTGAATTAATTTATAAATTAATTGGATTTATTTTTATATGTTTTTAAACATAATATAAAATTCTGTAATTTATTAATATATCGATTGTATTATTAATTCTATAAATAAATATTTTGCAATTCATACGAAATCCCTTCACTTCTCACATGTTATGAGTTTTTGTTTACATTTTTGCAATTAAATTGTTGTCTGGTTTTGGACTTAATTTGTATTCAAATTAATTGTGAATTAGTTTTAAAAGTGATTTTGAATTGAATTATGAATTCAATGATTAATATTAACGATATTTTGGATGAATTATTGTTTGAAAACAATAGACTTTTACATGAAATCCAATGTTTATGTGAAATGAAAACACATTTAATTAAAATTCACTCAAAATATGAAACACTTATCGATTCAGAAGACAATCAACACTTCCGGACATTATCTCAAACATTGGATCAATTTTACATGAAATCCAATGTTTATGTGAAATGAAAACACATTTAATTAAAATTCACTCAAAATATGAAACACTTATCGATTCAGAAGACAATCAACACTTCCGGACATTATCTCAACGATTGGATCAATTGAATGATAATACTTACGGATCATATGATAAACAAATTAAAATTGAATCTAATGTCCGACTGAAGAGTATTGGAGGAGAATTGAGGAGAAGAGGAAGTGATTACATATCCGAAGATATGAAGACAATAATAGATAATAATAATGAAGACATGAATGCCATTGAAATGTCGGATCAAATGACAACTAAAAAGCGGCCAAAAAATAAAAGACAAAAATCGAAGAAAACAATCAACAAATTGAATGAAAAATCTAATGAATGTTATCTCCAGAAGAAGAGGAGAACCACTAAAAGACACAAATCTGTGGTTAAAACTGAACCCAAAGTATTGTCCGAATATTTAACACAAAATAAGACCGAAAGCGAGAAATCTGTGAAATCGACGACAGATTCGCCGAAATGTGCGGAAAATGAGTTCCAAAAGTGTTTGGAAACCGAAGACGAGTCTTACGGACCGAAGAAATGGTATGTTTGCGGTTATAATGGATGTGAGAGACGGTTCCGGAGACCGGGATATTTAGCCAAACATCGGCTGTTGAGCGGACACTCGGAAGACAGCGAGACATCAATGGTTGAGTGCTTGCGATTCAAGAGTTCAGAACGGATGAAGTGCTTTGATTTAACAACAAATTTATTCAATTGTCCGCTCAATGACTGCCACAAGAGTTTCTCAGAGGAGAAACAGTTTTACCAACACATGTGTCGACACGACTTAAAACCACGGTTTAAGTGCGAATACGAGGGATGCGATAAAATCTATACCACTCGCGACAGTCTGGCCACGCATTTATTGATACATAAAAATGTGAAATCATTTAAATGCCATTATAAAAGTTGTAATTATGAAGCCATTTGCCAACGGTATCTAAATCTACATCTCGTATCGCATTCAACGGACAGACCATTACTTGAATGTCCAGTCAATGGCTGTAAGAAGACCTTTAAATATTCGGGAGGTCTGGACTTGCATTCGCGGTCACATCAAAGCGAACCCACTTTCAAATGTGGTTTCGGATGTAATGAAATGTTTTATAAACCCTATCAGCGAAGGAAACACGAGACCGATGTCCACAACAAGAGGCCGATTACTATATACCCGGCAAAGAAACAACGGTGCGATTGGCCCGGATGTGAGTATATCGGCACATATCTGAACGGCCATAAACGTGTCCACACGGGTGAGCGGCCGCACCGGTGCTTATGGCCAGATTGTGGCAAAAGTTATAAAAATGGGGAACGACTGAAAGACCACATGAATATGCATAACAATGTGCGCCCATATGTGTGTCAATGGCCCGGATGTGAGTACACGACAACCGGTGCCTCCTATTTGTTTAATCACAAAAAGTTTGTCCACAAAATGTAATCATTTTTAGTTATAATTTAATAAATTGTTTGATTTATTGATATTTAATAAACGTTTTTATTAAAACATTATTTATGTTGAATTCAATGACAACTCTCTTTACATTACTGTTAATCTCATGTCATTTTTGTTTACATTTTTGGGGAAAATTGTTGTTTAAATTATATTCAAATTAATTGTGAATTAGTTTTAAATGTGATTTTGAATCAATTATGGATTCAATAATTAATATAAACGATATTTTGGATGAATTATTGTCTGAAAACAATAGACTTTTACATGAAATCCAATGTTTATGTGAAATGAAAACACATTTAATTAAAATTCACTCAAAATATGAAACACTTATCGATTCAGAAGACANTCACTCAAAATATGAAACACTTATCGATTCAGAAGACAATCAACACTTCCGGACATTATCTCAAACATTGGATCAATTGAATGATAGGATTATAACTGCAAATGACATTCATATTATCACTGCATCTGATTTCCAACTGAAGAGTACATCAAATGATCAACAATTGAGGAGAAGAGGAAGTGATGACATATCTGGAGATATGAAGACAATTATAGATATTAATAATGAAGACATGAATGCCATTGAAATGTCGGATCAAATGAGAACTCAAAAGCGGCCAAAAAATAAAAGACAAAAATCGAAGAAAACAATCAATAATTTGAATGAAAAGTCTAATGAATGTTATCTCCAGAAGAAGAGGAGAACCACTAAAAGACAGAAATCTGTGGTTAAGACTGAACCCAAAGTATTGTCCGAATATTTGACACAAAATAAGACCGAAAGCGAGAAATCCTTGAATTCGACGACAAATCCGTCGAAATGTGCGAAAAATAAATCTCAAAAAAATTTCAAATTTGAAAACAAGTCATACAAACCTATAGTTTCGTCGAACAAGTCTTATGTTTGCGGCCATAAGGGCTGTCGAAGACGGTTCCAAAGACCCGGAAATTTAACCAAACATCGGCTGTCGAGCGGACACACGGAAGATAACGAGCCATCGATGACTGATTGCTTGCGATTCAACGAATCAGAGCGGATGAAGTGCTTTGATTTGATAACAAATGCATACAATTGTCCGCTCAATGACTGCCACAAGAGTTTCAAAACTGTGAAACTTTTTTCTCAACACATGTTTCGACACGACTTGAAACCACGGTTTAAGTGCGAATACGAGGGATGCGATAAAGTCTATGTCCGTCCCGAGGGTCTAGCCATGCATTTACTGATACATAAAAATGTGAAATCATTTAAATGTCATTATAAAGGTTGTAATTATGAAGCCGTTTGCCAACAGTATCTAAAATTTCATCTCTCAACGCATTCAACGGACAGACCATTACTTCAATGTCCGGTCAATGGCTGTAAGAAGACTTTTATGGGACAGAAGGGTCTGGACTTGCATTTGCGGACACATCAAAGCGAACCCACTTTCAAGTGCGGTGTTGACGGGTGTTTGGAAATGTTTTTTACAAGCACTCAGAAACTCAACCATAAGGTCGCTGTTCATAATAAAAAGCCGTATAAAACGAAACCACCGCAAAAGCGACGGTGCGATTGGCCCGGATGTGAGTATTTTGGATTCGCATTAGCCTCTCATAAACGTGTCCACACGGGTGAGCGGCCGTACCCGTGCTTATGGCCAGATTGTGGCAAAAGTTATAAAAGTAAGCTCCGATTGAGAGAACACATGAATATGCATAACAATGTGCGCCCATATGTGTGTCAATGGCCCGGATGTGAGTACACGACCACTGGAAGCGCTTATATGTTTAATCATAAAAAGTTTGTCCACAAAATGTAATTATTTTTTATTTAAAATTTAATAAATTGTTTTTTTTAATTAAATGTTTGACTGATTTTATACTAATTTTTTGTTTGGATTATAATTACTTGTCAATACATGAACTCAATATTTATTGATAGTAAACATTACCTGAATAGTGTCTATTATGGATAAGGAGGCGTCATAGCTACCCAAACATCACAACATCAGTCACCATCTCGAAGACCACCAGCAGTTACGGAATCGTAAGTTAGTTTGGTAAGTAAGTATAATTAAAACACAATTCAATAAAATGTTGAAAAACTAATTTATTTGTCGTTTAATTCAATTTAAATGTCGTTTAAAAATATAGTTTAAAATCAATGATAAAAATCTAAATCAATTCAAATTCAATTCAATTCATTGCCTCCTCGGAGACGCCTTTCGCATAACACGTGTCGTATTGACTGATCTCATGATCGCAGAGAAGTTGACGCTTTGGTTCGCAAACCCGGAGTGACTGGCATTCAGACAATGCGCTCCTCTTATATACAGGAATCGTAATCTCATCGCCATTATTGGGTGCGTTCACATAGTCTGTACACAAATACCGTCTCAG